CATGAAAAGTGCTGTATAAGTGCTGAGTATTAGTATTAATTATTCTTACACGGAGGCTGGCCCTGTCTGGAGCGCTGAGCAGAATTTGCCACATCTAATTTCAAGATTGTGTCTTTTCCCTGCCTCTCTCCTATTGCCTGAACCTAAAAAAAGAGAGAGGAAGAAAGGAAGAAGCAGAGAGCAGAAATAAGAGTATCTGAGCCTTGCAATCAAGCAGCATCTCAGGGAGGCAGGGGGACTGAGCTGTGAGCCCCAACACCTCCTGGCGAGGCCTCCCAGGGGCAGTGGAGCTGGAGCTGTGACTCTCCGTGCAGATCTCAGCAGCCCTGAGGGGCATCTCCTGCCTACCGTCCCACCTTCGGGGGAGTCAACACTGGAAGGAGCTCCCCGAGCCCCTGCTGCAGCTCTCACTGCCTGCGCATCTCTGCGCCACTGCCCGGCCTGCTTTGCTGCTGCCCTCCCCTTCTCGTGCCCTCCTTCTCCATGCAGGCTCCTCATGGAACGGGTCCCCAGAGGAGGAGGAGAAATGGAGCGGCGGGTGCCCGCAATTATCTCTGTGATGAAGCGTCCTGCCGGCTGGCTCCAGCAGCCTCCTCATGTGCAGATCAAAGGGCCACGGTGGGCTTTGATAGCAGCCACCCCAGAGGGGCAGCCCCTGCTGTGAACTGAGCCAGCAAGGAGACAGAGAGCAGCAGGCAAGGGCTGCGGGGAGAGGAAAGGGAGAGATGATGCCTGGCTGGCACTGCTGAATTGGAGACCTCTGTGCCAGCTCCCTGCCACGGCCTGCAGCCTAGCTCCAGGGCAGCCATGAGGCCTTTATGGCTGCAGAGGTCTTGCAAGGTCTTCATATGTAGACCTCACAACAGCTGTTTATGGTCCTAAAAAACAGGCACGATAAATGATGCTTTGTCTTGGGCACCACGGACTGCCTACAGCTCTTCTCCCTCTGCAACAAGGCCACAACTAGCTGCAGTGGGTGGAGTGGGCCAGCAGGATGGATGTGGCCCCTGGCTTCTCACTGGGCCATGTGAGGTGCTTGCCAAGGAACCAAGCCCTGAAAGGACTTGGAGGGGGAAGGAACAAGATTTGTGTGTACTGAGAAGCAGCCAAGCCAAGAACACAAGCGTAAAAAATGGGAGGGAGGAGGCGCAGCCCGGGTTTGAGTCCACACAGAGCCCTGAGGGAATGCCAGGGGATGCTCAGCTCCCCAGGGTGTTCACACCCCAAACTGGAGGCCTAAGGGCTCACAGCCCACAACCCAGCCAGGTTCAGCCGCTCAGCCCCTCTCTGTGTTGTGGGGCAGGAGAAGAGTAGTTTCATGCCTCAGAGTGACTAAAAATGTTTCAACGTTGCAGCCTTACTTTGGGGATTTGAGGTCATGTGTGTTTATCTATGGTTCATCAACCCAGGCTGATCCTTTGACTTTAGTGGTCACTGCATTTCTCTGGTGAGTGGGTAGAGGTTTGGAGTGGCTGTGGGGTACTACGGGAGGGACTGAGAGGGCCCAAAGGAGAAGGCTGAAGGAGCCAAAGTGGATCAGGCTGGAGAGTAGCAGAGAAGGCTCAGAAGAGACACCTGCATTTGGCCCCAGGAGTCACCTGGGAAACTGGGATGCCAAGCTTTGGTCTTGACCTGAAGAGGTGCAGCAGGCAGCAGGAAGAACTGCAGTCCTATTAATACAGTGGACACACTGTAATTCATCAGTGCCTGCTGGGAGAGTCACCCTGCCTTTTTACCCCCGTCTTCCTGCAGAATGGTTTTACCTTCAGCCCTTCAACCCCATGATGAGCTCTATATGAGCATGTGGAGGAGCCAGGTGTCTGACCAGAGCTCTGGTCTAGTCAGAAAGCTGAAGTTGAGGAGGGAAACAGGGAAAACAGGAGACTGGGAGAGGGAAAGGGTATCTCATTACTTTGATGGCATCCCTGCTGTCAATGACGAGGTGGGACACGAGGGGACATGGCAGTGTGAAAGTCGCCTCACAGTCACCAAGGGTGGGTTCCAAGACAAGGTGTTGGGTGTCCCTCCTGGGCACAGTGATGACAAAGTGATTGGAGAAATGGGGTTGTGGGTTCAGTCTTCCAGTGATTGCCCATGGGACTCTGGACAAGTCACTGCCTCACATACCTATTCCTTCTCTGTGCAGCAGGGAGCTGCTACTTACAGGTAGGCTAATGCATCTGAGTTTGGAAATTAGCCTCAGGTAGAAAGATCTGAAGAAATGCCAGGAACCTTGCCCTATGCTAGCCATACACTCCCATCTCTGTCCCATACCGTAGGCATAGGGTATAAGCCCCATGGGCACCCACCAACTCCAGAGGTGCCGCTTTGCCTCAGCATCCACCAGAACCACCCCACATACTCTCTGCAGGCGCCCCTGCTCAGGCGGGGCAGTGTCAAGACTTACCCCTGGCCTCCTGCTACTTGCCACCCCTGTGGAGGACTACGGGGGCAGGCACTTTCTCCCTCCTCAGGCTCTCAATGTTTCAAAACCCTCTTGGGCTTTCCTGCATCCTCTGGCCCAGGAGCATGTAGCCTTGCTCTGTCTGCAGAGCTCTCTCTTCTCTTCTGTGTTGCCATAGCCTTGTTCTCCTGGGCCCACCATGGACAGGCTGGGCATTGGTGGGCCCCAGGGCTCATCTAGGAGCATTCAGGGCACGTCTGATTGTGCCCCTCCTGGAGACCATGTGGGAGAATGCCACTGTCCTGTACATCCAATCTCTGCCAGGCTGGAGATGCCTTGAGGGCAGCCTCTCCCCGCAGGGTTTAGCATCAACACTCCAGCAGAGCTGTAGGCTTGATGCTTGGCCCAAGACTGGAGATCTCAGTTATGCTGATTCTGCCTGTCCCTCTTGCCTCTGGCTCAGCACTTTGGCTGTGCAGGGCTTTGCAGATGATCCTTCATGTCTGCCTCTGTCCTCTGAACCCATCTTTCAGGGAGGGCCTCCCATTCTCCGCTGAGTTTGTGAGCTAGGTTTTTGAGTGCTAGGGTAGCTGAGATCCCACAGTACTCATGTGAATGGTGCGTGTGTGCGTATGTAACTTTCCTACTCTGTAGTCCAGCTGTAGAGCAGAGTTTGGCCTGGATATTTCCACCAGGCAGCCGATGAACAAAAACAAAAGATGGGTGTCTCTTTGCCTTGAAATCCTGGGAGTTGCTAAAAATTCATAAACCCATAAAACAAGGTTAGGTATAGTTTATATTGTCTTTCTTTTTGAGCCTTTAGATCTGCACTAACTCAACACCGTAACCTGCCTTCATGGAAGTTACTAAGTTTTTTTCAGCTTTAAATGAAAACTGAAAATCCCTTGCAATCACAAGAGTCCAGGACTTGGTGCTTAAGAAAAGCAAGGAACATCAGAGGAGGGACAACACTGTGAATTAAATAGCCACTGAGCCAGATGTTTTGGAAGAAGGAAAGAAAAGCTCACATTGCATCTGGCTGCTTTTCAAGGACAGATGAATACATGACTCCAGTTTAACTGCATTTAGTTCAAAAGCAATGCGGCAAACCTATCTCCTTAATACTCTTGCCTTATCCTTCCTTCTTATATTGCAAAGATTGGCTTGAGAAGAGCAGCTGTAGCAAGAACATCATCTGAATCTCAAAAAAGGACAAAACTGTCTGCAGTATATTCACTTTGTTGTTGGTTTTCCAGGTGCTCCTCCATCACATCAGGACATTCTTCTCTTTAAGATCCCCCCAATAAATCCACATGAACAAGGACCAAGTTATAAAAAAAAAATCTTTATTTCATGTACCAGGATTTTTTTTTAATTTTCTGTTTTTAAAATTTTTTCTTTTTAACAGTCTGAAAAAAAACACAAAATAAAGAAAATGGAGGTTGGTTTCTTGTACTGGTTTGAGCTGGACATGAGCAATATCCTTGGAAAAAAGCTTCCCTGCCAGCCCTTGTCCTTCTCGCCTCTTGAGCGCTCCCTGGCGCTCCCTCCCTCCCTCCCTCTCTGACATACCCGCTATCACACTTGGGGGCTTGCTTGGCTTCGCACTTCGCCCTGTGAATGCTCACGAGCTCCGCGAGACGTTGAACTCTCGAGAGCAGCTTTGGATTTAAACCAAAATGCCATGCTCTGTCTATGCTGGAGTTTGGGAAACCAATTTTTAATGCGTTCCTAGGGATTAGGGGATTGTCTTTTGAATTTTTGATATATATATATATATATTCTTTTAAATCTATATTTTTAAGGGTTGGGTGCTAGGATAGGGGAGCGGTTCGCAGGAAGGCAGGGGAAAGAGGTATCAGCGGGGAGTCTGGATATCCAGTGCACACTGAGCCAGGCCTCTTGGACGCGCCATCTCGTTTTTCCCTGTGCTGCTGGGCCAGAGCTCACCTCTGTGCCCAGCTAGAGCCCAGAGGAGCTTCCCAGCTCTTTGGGTCTCCCACATCTTCTCCCCAGCCCTGCCTTGGAGTGGAACCTGCTCGCCTGTGCCTGGGGGATAAAGCAAGTCAGAGCAGCAGCATTTGGGGGCGGGGAGGGTCAGGATGCTTTTAAGGAGCAGAGCAGAAACTCCAGTGGGAGCTGAACTGTGGGACTTCAAGGCTCGTAAAACTGGAGCAGCAGGAACTGGAATGGAAAAAGCCAAGAAAAGTGGGTCTGAGCTGCGCAGCATCTCGGCGGCCCCACGCTGCAGGCCCTCGGCCTCGCACCTGCCCGGGTGCGTGGCTGGCAACAGGGCTGCTGGCCAGGGCTGCCCCAGGGGCCTGTCCTTGCCCTGTGCCAGCTGGTGGCTGGCCAGGTGTCGCAGAGACCCGCTGATACCCTTCCCCTGCCCTCGCCCTTCACTCCCCGCTGCCCTCTCCATGTCCCCGTAGCAGCGTTAACACAGAGCTGGAATTAACAGCGGTTTCTGGGACCCCTGGCGCCTCTGGGACGCCCGTGCTCCCCTGGGTGAGGCGGCGGTGCTGGGCTGGCTCCCCACGCTGCCGGGGGGATGGGGCTCGTGGTGGGGTATCGGGGTAGCTGTGCAGCCGGGAGCCCTGGGGGCAGGGGCCTGACTTGCCCCTTGCCGCTGCAAGTCAGGCGCTAAGGGGATTAGACCCACAGCAGGAGAGACTCAGGCGGGGATGAGGAGGCAACGGAGCGGGTGCGGAGGAGCCCGGCGGCTTCGTGCCTCTCCCGGGCACGGCCCCGGGCTGAGGGAGCGCGAAGGGCCAGCGACGGAGGCAGAGCTGGGGGCTCGCTGCAGCTATTCGGGATCGGGGCCGGGAAGGTAAATACACGCAAAGGCAAAGCAGCGGGTGGCCGGCTCCCGTGCGGGTCTGCATCAGCGCAGGCTGCGTGTACCTGCTGGGGGGACAGGATGGGTTTCAGGGGGCGGCCGGGTGAGCCCTTGCCGTGCCCCCCCTGCGTAGCTACAGCCCGGCCGGTGAGACCAGACCGAGCCAGGCAAGTCTGAGGCAGCCCAAGGAGCAGTCCGGAAGAGCCGGGGCCGGCCACGATGTGGCTGCCCCAGGGAGCATCCAGAGCATTCACAGGAGAGTGCGCGCGCGTGCGTGCACGTGTACGTGTGCGTGTGCGCGTGTGCATGCGTGCGTGTGAGCGCCGGTCGCCTCCCCGGCAGACTGCCCTTGCTTTGGGTCTCCCAGCCCCTTTGCAGCAGTATCTTCCTCTCTTCAGGAAGAGACATTTGCCTAGTGCCAAGCCCCTGGGTGCAAGGGGAGCATTTCCCCTGCTCCCAAGCAGATGATCTCTGGCCTTCGAGGGTTTTTTTGTTTGTTTGTTGTTTCTGCTGGATGGATTCAAGTCCTGATTTCTCCTTACAAGCCCCCCCACTCCCTTTGCAGATCTGTATGCACCTCCCTCCCTCCCTATTTCCCACTTATTTTCACAGTTTAAAGCTGGAGAAAACAAAAATGAAAAGAAAAAAAATACTATCTGTTTTTTTTCCTTGCAAGTAAATCCACTTATTATATTTACATTTATTTATAGTTTTTTATTAAAAAAATGCCACTTTTTAAATAAACTTTTTTTGTCTCTTTTAATTTGTTTGTTTGCTTTTTGCACTGTCACTATTAACCCCAGGATCCCCAGGACCTGGGAAGTCTGGCTGGGTCACCAGGAACCTCCTGGGAACACTGTGGACTAGTGACTCAGCATCAGCTCCTGAGCTCCCTAGGGACAGGATTCACTACTAACCCCCACGGACTCACAAGGGACAAGTGAATCCCCACGTTTCCCGGGGTATGGGGTAACTGAGCAGATCATGATTAACCCCGGCACCGAGATCCTCTTTAACCCTCGGGCTGCCCAAGGACACAGAAGTCACTGCTAATCAAAGCCCCATCCCCTGTCCCCTAAGGAGCCTGTAAGTCTATGCTGGGTTTAAAGTAGGTGGGAAACAAATCATAAAAGTAAAGAATAAACCCCCCAAAATCCAAAGAGCTGCCTCCTCCTCCTCCCACTTGATTTATTGTTTGTTATTTCTTGGTTCCCTTTTATTTTTTTAATCTGTTTTTATTAAATGTTAAAATAATGGTACATGGGAAATCATGCATTTTCTTTTAAATTTATTTTCTATTTTTAAATCTCTCTCTGTTTTAAAGTTTTTCTTTTTTTTCTTTTTTCTTTTTCCTTTTTTTTAAAGTTTTTTTCATTGTTGTTTCTTTCCTTGCGTTTTCTGTGTTTGTTTGTTTGCTTTTGTTTGCTTGCTTGCTTGCTTGCTTGTTTGTTTGTTGGTTGTTTTATTTTATTTTATTTTATTTTTTTGCGTTTGGAAGGTTCCCCCCCCCAGGGGCGCTTTCACCTCCTCCTTCCCACCTCCTCTGCCCCCTGCCCTCCGCCACCCTTCCCTCCCCTGCCCACCCTCCCTCCTCCTGCCTGCTCCTTCCCCATTTTCAGCTCCTGGTGAAGGCTTCATACCGGGGTGGTCCGACGGTTGGCTGTGTTCGTGTGGATAGAGTCCTTGTTCTCTTTCTGGATACAGTTGTGAACCTGGAGGAAACTGTTATCCCTGTCGGAATTGTAGGTAGCGGTGGGAGTGGTGGTAGCCTTCAGCGGGTCCCTGGTCAGCGTGTACATCGAGATCTCTGTTGATGGGAGGGTGTTGAACCCTTTGATCCCGACGGGAGAGGCATCCCTGGAGTGTGAAGGCTCAGTAGAACGGGAGCTAGAGCGGCTGCGTCTCTGATAGCGGTACCGGTAGCTGGGGATGCGGGTGATGGCAGAGGACTGGAGGTAGTCCGTGGCACGAGCGTTGGCACGCAGCTGTTTGTGCCGGTCTATGAACATGTGGACGGCCAGCACTCCCACCATCTCGGCTATAATGAAAGACAGGGCCCCAAAATAGAAGGACCAGCCATAGGAGTAACTGTTCTTCTTGGAGTCACTCTTCGAGGGGTCTCCAGCGTTGGCTGATATGTATACGATGATGCCAATTATATTACTCAGACCTGCGAGCCGGGCAGCAAGGGAGAGAGAGGAAACCCTCAGGAGGTGGAAGCACTATGGCAGCTTTGGGGTTAAGCCCCTGCTCCCTCTGCTTGCGGGAATGGCCCCAGGAGGGGAGTTACCAGAGGGCTGCCAGCCCACCCCTCATGTGGTCGACTTTCCTACAGCTCTGCTTGGGCACCCCAGGCACCTCCCCACCAAGCTTCCTCAGCAGGGTTGCTTTGCCCTCGATTAAGGCTCATGGAGGCTGGAAAAAAGCACCCATGCAAACCTGCCACTATAGGGCAGCTGAGCTGGGCAGTCCACCCCCTCTTCTGCCTCTGTAAGCCACGTTGGCCTCTTTACCTGCAGACACGAAGAAGATGCCGGCACTAAGGATGATGTTGTGTCGGGTTTTGTAGAACTCGCTGGCTGCAATGCAGAGTCCACCCATGAAAAGCAGAATCACGCTCAGGATCGGAAAAATACTAGAGGCTCTAACAGCCCCTGTGAAGGAGAGAGGGAGCGGGTAGAAATAGCAGCACACATGTGAGAGAGAGGAAAGGGGGACATGGCAACAGCACCAGCGTGAGGGAGCGCAGGAGGAGAGGCGGGGGAGAGGGCCGGGGAACAATAGTGAGTTTTGTGGATGGGGAAGAAGGAGAGAAGCGTGGAGGGGGAGAGAGAATTCAAGGAGGAGTAAAGAGATGGAGGGAGGTGGAGAGAGAGAGAGATAAACAAAGTGTGTCAGAAAAAGAGCAGTCACAAGCAGCTCTACCACGTTAGATAGGCGCTGAAGCTATTCTGAAGCCAGTGGCCTGGAGCAGGGCTTACGGAGGGGGCTAAGGGGCTGGTGGGAGATGTGGATAAGCTTGTGGATAACCTCCCTTCGCTGCTTGTCTCTCTCACAAACTCTCTTTTTCTCATACTTTTGTGAGACTATAGGCTGGATGAAGAGCCCAAGCACAATCTGGTCTCTCCTCCCGCAGTGCAATGCTGCTTGAGCCCATTCTTCAAAGAAAAGCAACCCAGATGATTCCTGCTGAGCTGCTCAATCTTAAATCATCCCGAAAGGGCACTAGCCTCTCAAGGAGAGATTTCTAGGGCTGGGAAACAGCTCCTTATGCAGTACACTGCTCCATGACTGCAGCGAGGACTGAGAAGCAGAACTCCCAGCCCTGAACTCCAAAAACATGGGGCTTATCCTAGTGATTGAACAACTACTCTCCTTCCAGAGGACAGAAATTGGTTTGTGTGAGCCAGGTCACACACCCACATCAGTTGATACTGGAAGAGCTCAGCCAGCAGAGGGCAATGGCATATATGCACACGTATGCTCATAAATGCATGTAAAGCATACACAAAAGCTTCTGGGGGAACTCTTGCATATTCATAAAGTGAAAGGCAGTGACTGTGGATATGTGTAGACACACATACACACGCACAGAGCAGATACTAATGGTCTGCATGAACCTGTGTTGCCAATATTTGTATATTTTGCTAGGAAGGCCTTCCTTCCTCCCTTCCCAGGAGAAAATAAGCCATTAAAGTGTGAAATGAAGCTGTGCTTGTTAAAGAAAGGTATCAGATGGGCTGCTACAATTCTGCTTGTGGAGCAAAGATTTGGAGAGGGATGAAAGCAAATCTCTCCTTTCCTACAAGAACGAGCCCAACTGAAGCAAATGCAGAGCTTTTCCCCAAGCAAGCGCAGACTGTGCCTCATAGCTCTGCTGGCATTGAGATGCTACCAGGCACAAGCTTTATGAGGGATTCTAGCCTTCTGCATGGGTAGTGTAAAAAGCACGATGAAATCTTGCTTGCTTGCTTTTCGGTTCTGCCTGGCTGTGTTTCAGGGAATGGGACAGTGATAATAACCGTCTTAGTAGCTTCTGGAAAGCAAAGGAGGATTTGACAAGAAGCTAAATGACGGTAAATAAGTATCAAGCAGACATCCTCTGTTCAAAGGGTTTGCAGAAAGATGCTCGGTCCCTCTGCAACTACATCACTTTACCACTAACCACAACCACTAACCACATTATTTTGGCCTGGCCTCTGTTCTGAAATTCACATCTGTTGGGAGGACAGAAATTTGCAAGCTGACATGGGAAGCTAAAGGGATTATGTGAAGGATAAGGACAGCTCGGTGGCTGTATTCTGCCTCTTAAAAGGAACATGCTAGCATATTGCTGAGAAAGAGAGGGGCATTGCGGAATCTTACTAGTCTTCCAAGATCCAGGCTTTGATCTAAAGAAAAGCAGATTCACTGTGGTGTTTGGATGCTCCTTTATATCATCTGCCTACCTTCTGAGTCCAGTGTACTACCAAAGTAATACAGTGTTGGTCTGCTTCCTCTTTGACACTAGATATGTTTTAAAGAAATGTAAGACTTTATATGAGAAAAACTCATATATGAGTCTCTTATATGAGACAGAAATGAACTTTGAGCCCTTCTGTCCAGGCTACGGAAATTGCTGCATCCTGTCATCTTGGTCCCCTGACGCAGGGAATCACCTAAGCTGGCAAAAAGTCTGACAGCTTCCTAACCACGCTGGCCAGTACCATCAGGTGTCATCCTCACAGAGTTCCCAGGAACTCCATTTTGACAAAAATCTTGGGAATAAGCTGTCTTGTAGCGTCTCTCTTCAGCCAGGTCTAAGCTAGCAGGAATCCTCCTTCTCTTATGAGGAACCCAAGAGGTACTTTTTCCTGGACAAATTTCCATTAAACCTAGTTCTTTCTTATAAAGGGATTCTATCCCGGGCGAAACCATTCGGTCTTAACACTGAGCCATATTTTATCTTCTGATCATGTTCCTTCTGAGGGAACAGATTCATAGTTCTTGACATGTTTTTCCCCTACAAAATCCTTCTTTCTGAAGTTCAGTTAATGCTAGTGGCTTCCTCAATCCCAAACAATTGTGCATTAGCTGATTTGCCCTCAGGGGCAATCTGTGCCAAAATGGATCAAACACAAGTTTTCAGCTCTGTCATTCAAGGGCCATATAGGGATTATGAGACCAGTTCTGTAGAAAGGCATTTAGAAGAAACAGTCTCCCTGGGGTTATTTAAAATAACAGTGGGTGAAGAACCATTTGAGAAACCAAGAGGAAGTTGTGTAAAGTCTGCCTCTGCACATATAAATGAGCTTTACAGAGCCTGAATTATCTCTCTCATCTCTGCTGCAGGGCTGGGCCCCCACATCCAGCTTTGAGCACATCCAGATGACACGGAGCAATTCTGAAAGTCTCTGGGCCCTGGAAACCCCTGATGCTTAACCTTGGGAGGTAGAAAAGCTCTTATCTCGTACTCCTAAAGGGAGAAGGGCTCTTTTCATGATGTCAAAAGATGTGTTCGTGGAGGAAGGAAAGGATAGTAATGTCAGAGCCTATGAGGAGAAGTGATTCCTGTTTAGATCTCCTAAAGGAACAGCAAGGTCCTGGTTCTGTGGCATGTGGAGATGGTTGCTTGTGGTCCATTAGGGCAACATGTAATAGAGAACTGCTCTGGTAATAGACTGCCTCCCCTATCCCTGTTCACATGGCGCGTTTCTACCTGCAGATTCCAAGCTGAACTCTGATCTCAGATTCGGTTTCCTTATGTAGACACAGTAAGCTTGAGGTACAGCATGTTTTCCAGAGACCCTGGGTAAGTGATTCAGACTGCCTTTTCTTCTACATCCCATTCTCACCATTCCAAGCTTTAAAGCTCAGATCCACAACCTTTCCTACATAAGCATTGTTTGAGAGAGATGACAGGATGCTCAGACAGCCTATTCCATGAGCTTATTTCTTAAATTTGATATAACTATAGAGTATCAGCTAAGGAAGCATAAATTTCTTCTGTTCAAGACACATGCCCCCACAAACATACTGCTCTAGCTTCCTCAGTATTGGACTTATTTTGTCAAAGGCAGACAACAGGACTGTTAACCATCGCCATTATGGTGGGCTGGCACACTGCAGGAACAGGCTCACACCTTGGGCCTGCTGCCTGGGAGTAGCAGTGCTGGAGCATGGTGATCTGGGCCCAGAGGATACCCGCATTTGATACAGTGGCGTGGAGTGTCCTGCACCCAGGCCTCTGGCTGTAAAGCCTGTGCCAGAGTAGGAGGAAGACTCTGCAGACCAGCCCATGTCTCAATGTGTCTTGCCCTTTAGAAAGGGGATTTTAGATAGTTTTTTTCAGGTTCAGAGTTACACTCAGGAGCTTTCCATCAGATTTGGGATAAAAGACTCTGAATTTATATAACAGTTGATTGCCATTCATTAAAAATCCCATTTATTTTCCTTATGAGTTTGAAACTGTCTCATGGACATGGTCTGAGAGAGGCGAAAATGGATAAAGAGGTTCTGAGACAGATGTTCAGAAACTCTGGAAGATCTCCTCCAGTTCTCCCAGTGGTTGCCTTCTCTGGCTTGCTAAGCCTGAAGGGGCCCATGATCTTAATTGTGTCATCTTCGGAAAGCAAAAGACACCCAACACTAACACCTCTAAGCAATCACAAGCAAAACAACCTGCAGACTTACGGAGGAAATATTCTGCTGTATCGGCTTCATAATCTGCATCCTCAGGGAAGTGATCGATTTGCTTACACAGACCTTTAAAATTCCCTGTGGAACAAGAGGAAAAAAGAACAAATGAGAACATCAAAAAACAACCTGAGGAAACAACTGCCCTCTGCTTCATTCTTTATACCCTCCCTTCATTTTTCCCAGGCAGCACATACACTCACATATGGATGCCCATTAAACGTCCTGGCACTCTCCTCACACGCACAGGCATCTCCCTCTCTTTTGCACAGGAACATGAGAATCATCATCTGCATCCAACCTGACATCCACAGCATCCCTTGCTCAGCAGTGGAGAGCACCAAAGGCTTCTGCTGGCAGATACGACTTCTGAGTCAGACAGGAGATTGGTGCCCACCTCTGAGGGAGACTGGGATGAGAACAGTGATTAGAGACTGGGTTAAGCTACAAAGCATGAAGTTTAATATCGCTTCTGCTGGAGTAACTTTAGATATTTGTATATTTACAGAAACACCCATTCTCCACTTGAATTTCACCTTGTGTGGCCTCAGTGAGTTCCAGCAGTGCTGTATATGGTGGGTTCATTATGTTTCTGTGGGAAAATATTTGTTTTTCTCAGCTGCGATTTTGCTACCTATTCATTTCTCTGGTGAGATATATTCTATTGTTCTGGTTTTATGAGAGAAATACAAAAGCTTCTAATCTTCTTTCTCTGTACAACTGCTTGTTTTATACACCTTTATCAGACCTCCTCTTGTGTCCTCTCAGATACTAAGTCTACACAAAGCTTGGCAGAAATGTGTGGATGCAGCTCTGCAGCAAAACATCCCTTTGCAGTGTGGGAGCAGAATCATCCATCGTGGGTGAGAGAAGCTCCTCTGGTACATCTGTTTCATCAGGCTGGTTTCATATCTTCTGCCTGTGTCTCTGCTTTAGTCTTGGGGTAGTATCTTTCACATATTTCATGACCAACAAAGCTATCCCAGCAGGAAGCCAGAGAAATCTTACCAGACTCTCATCCTCTTGGGTTTCTATCAGGTTCTTATTTCTGTCATTCATCTCTCTCTCTCTCCTTGAATTCAGGAATACCACTCTGGAAGGATAATCAGTGGGCCTAATCCAGACATTGTGGTCACTGGTTGACTAATATCCTGAAATATCACAATATTTATGCTGGCACGGGGGTGGTCATGTGGAAGGCAACTTCCATATACCTCCTGGGAAATCTCCAACCTCTTTCTTCCTCTTCTGTTGCTTACATTTCCCTCTTGACCCTTGCATTGGCAGTCTGCTAACATAGAATCAATGGGCACAGTTTGGCTGGAAAGGAGGGATGCAAGGTCTTCCTGAGGTGCGTGGCTGGCTGGTCATGGTTATCCTGTGGGTCTCCTAATTGGTGTTCAATCACCAAAGTGGCATTTGAGCAAGAGGCTATGGAAGAGAATCTCTCCTTCTGCAGATCTCTGCCTTTCTCAGAGACAGGCCTGTCTCTGTCAGCCCCAGGCTGATTGAGCCTTTGGCAGAGGAGTTTGCACCCTCAGTCTGGAGAGGGAGAAGTGCTATAGCAACCTGGAAGTCAGGCTGCCACCTCGGGCCTGAACCCTGGTGCTGGACCAGCCTGACAAGGAGAGTGTATGGCCCACAGAGCCACCACAGTTTCAACTGTTGACACCAGGAAGAGTTGGTCATGAGGAACCCAGGGCTCCTTCCCAGGCTGAGACTTGCAGACACTATATTAGGTCCCTGAGGATTGTTTTAGAAGATTTATTCTGATGAATTCCGGTTATCTTCCAGGTATTTTCGAGCATCCAGTAGAATAACTCAGTATAAAGGATTCCCCCAGGTTTTTTCTTGTGGCCAAACTGTGCTGAAGCAAAATTTGGGCTGCTTGTGGAGGCAGCACTGAGCAGATGACTGTGGAGCAAACATTGCTGATTTTCTGTAGATCTGTACCCATGGTCTCCTCCTTCTGCATCTCGTCTGCTTGCATCTCGTATTTTTGAGACAATTATTGTCTTTAACTAGTAGCTCAAAAGGCTTCTATGAAGAAACTAGACACACAGCACACGGAGTGTGTATGTATGTAAGAGCTAAGTATTAGGAAGAGGAGGTAGGAACAAAGTGTCTGTGTACCTCTGAATTGCTCTTCCCCCACTGAACCTGTGGGATATGAAATGAAGTTATTAAATACCTTTCCCAATTTAAAAAGTGCCTGCTTCTCAGTCATGGTTATTCTGGAAGGAAAGCTTCATAGCTGAGTAAATTTCCCTGCCACACTCCCACCCTGCTGCTTGTCAACTTAAATAGCTGTGAGGAAGCCTGATATAACATGTAGGAGGTCCTTTCTCTTCCTTACCCTTGACTGCCTGGTGTTATCTTCCCATGACAGACACGCATCTCATCACCCTGTTCTTTTGGCTATGGGTCACTGCTGTACTGGCATCCTCTCTACTGCTTTCTCAGGCTTTGGAAGAGCAACTTTCAGCCCACTGCAAATGGAAAATTATTTTTCCTGTGCAGACACACAGCAGCCTTTACAGCCTTTACCTTGGTGTTAAACAGTCTGCTCATCACAGCCTGGTAGCTCACTACAGGCACACAAACACTGCTGCCTTTTGAGGCATCTCAGTGCAGCTATCAGGAAAGCCTCAAGCCTCAGATTTCAGCTCTCTGGTCATCAGATTTAAGCCATCCCAGTGAGTGCTGAGTGCTGAGTTCCTTGCAGCATATGCTGGGGCAACAGGCAGAGCACAACCAGGGAAGTCTGGATGAAATCAGGCAGGAAGAGATGCCACATTTGGCCATGTGGGGAAGATGAGTCCCTTGCTTTGTGCCATGTTTTACCTGCTTTCTCTCTTTCCCTCTGCCCCACTCCTTGTTGTATTTTAGCCCTATTAATTTCTATGAGAAGAATCAAGATACTTGGGAAAAATGCTGTTTTGTGCAGGGTGTTTTTTTTATATGGACTTGTGTGAGATGACTATCTTGGGATTCAGATGTTTAGACGAGGTGATGGGGCAGTGCCAGGAGCCCAGACAGCGTGTTTTCTTTGAAAATCTGCCTCTGGTGCTCAGTTTCCAAAGGCCTCCATGATCTGACTCAGACGGGTCCTTATCCATTGGGGTAAATAGCCCTGGCTCAACTGAAGTGCTACAGTCTTGAGGAGATGCCCTTCACTGCAGACTGACACTGCACCGCTCTGATTCAACCCTGCTGGTGTTCATGAAGGGAGGTGGTCAGTGTTAGTCCCACCTTGGTTGCTGCTTTGTCTGTACTCCATATAAGACACCATGACTCTAGACACTGACTGTTAAATTGTGCCACCACTCTCTCCTCCAATGCCTCCTGGCTCATCTGGGTGATGTAGAAAGGATGAAGCATTTAGGTCATTAACCTGCTAACTGGGAGCATAAGAGAAAAAGGTTCAATTTCTGCTCTGCCACGGGCATGCTATTAAAATCACTTCTTATCTCCGTGCCTTACAGTACCACTTCGCAAAATGGGGTTAACAGCACTGCTCTGCCTTATGATGTACAGGAATGTTTTAAAGAGGACGTTGTATCGGTGCACCAACAGCAGAGACTGTACAAATGCATGGAGTAAGTGAGTGATGGATGGCAATGGTTCAGAAAACAGCTCAGTGTGGGGAAAGCCTAGATGTCACTTTTTGCTCCAAGGTCACTCGGCAACCCTCTCATGGACATCTGTGGCCTGCTGAGATGGTTCAAAAGCCTCCCTGGCACCTGTGCTGGCGAAAATGCCTCAGCCACACATGGGGAGGGGGATGGAACAGCTCAGCAGCATTTACAAGGACAAATAAAACAGCCTTTTCTGATTCCACACGTGCCGTTTGCAGAGCCAGGGAAGGAAAAGACATGTGCCACACAATACAGTTACTACTCCTGAAAACGAGCAAATTTTTATTTGGAAGGACATGTAGGGCTTTGAGACCTGGCTAAAAGGATAAGAGCAACATCTCTTCTGTACTCATGTCCTTTTGTCCTTCCCATTCTTGACTTGAGCCATTTTATGCAGCAAACCCCCAACGGACAGGTGTTGAGCTCTCAAGCTTTCCATGTGAGCCTCTCCAGGAATCTTGATCACTTCCACCTTCTCCCCTTCCTCCAGTTTCCAGTGCAGTTCAGACTGTCCGCTCGCCCTATTTCACATGCTCATCCACCAGATCTTCCTCTTATTTCTCAGTCTCATTTATCACAGCCACTTCACTCTCCCTCACAAGTCTGTTTAGGGATCCTTTGCATGGGCTGCTTTTAGACATGCAGGCTGCAAAGCAAGAGTCTGGCTTGACACAGGACAGAGAAGCTGGAGAGAGTCATAAAATATACTCCTAGCTCCAGTCCTGCATTGTCTCTCTTCCCCCTTGCCCCTAACACTATGATACAGTCACAGAACAGCCTCCAACACCCCTGGGTATTTTTGTGAGTATCTGGATGAGATCCCCATCATTTGCTTGTTGCCTGCCAAAGCTTTACAAAACACCATCCTGGCATCTAGGGCTGGCACAACAGGCATCCCACAATGCCTGGATCAGGACAGAAGTTGTTCATCTGGGACATTAAGTGCAGAGACAGCGTAGCAGGCTGTAGCCTACCAGACGGCCAAGGGGGTTTGAATGTCTAAGATATATGAAAATCAATTCTAACTGGGTGTTTGGCCCTTAAAGAGTCCTCCTCCAATGTGGCCAGGTCATCATTTGGGTACATGCTGTCTATCCAGGACAGCTGGAAGCAGTCAGCTCTACTGCAGTGAGAGTCAGTCTGAGTTACCCCTGATGAGAATCTGGCTTGGTATTGTTGGTGATATAGTTTATTTTTGTATTGCTTTGTGCAGCCCCATCTCTTTTAGAAGTCTTGCTTGCCTGCAGAGTGCAATGCATCAGATAATAGTAAGTTCCAAAGAATAAAAAGCTAATCCCTTCCTGCAGAGTAGGAACACTTTTAAATGGTCATGACCGTACATCTGAAAACAGGGAGCCAGAGGTAGAGGAAAAGATGTCCAAAAGGAAAGAAGCAGACAAAGAGGGCAGAGAACAGAAAGACCTGTTTTCCCAGAATGATTTG